GATCATTTTATTATAGATTTATGTTCATAAAATTATGACGAGAGTAAGGATTTATTGGATTAATATGTAACTTTCCAAGATATAGTAACAGGACCTTATAAATAAAAACTGATAATAATCAATCCAAAATTTATTTTAGTAGTGGTCACCTTGGAAGACTTTAGAAAATTTCAAGTATAAATTCTATTAAAATGGTGCCACCTTTACATTTAAAATTCAGCAAAAGTTATGAAGGTGTGGCATTTTGACCTTTGGAGTTGAGATGCATCAATATGTTGTTGAAATTTAAATGAGAAAATTTGGGAGAATAGCTTAAATCACCTAATTTTTTATAGACAACTTAAAGTTCATGATAACTAAAAGATACAAGTTTCTTAAAGTACACATCTAAAAATGTGCCATAAAATGTAGTCCACAATATAAGTATATACTTATACTGAGGCTAATACCTTCTATAAGCAATGGTTTAACCTTTAGTCTTACCAATAGGGATGTATGTGACTTATTAATAATTGACATTAACTAAGTTTATTTCTGAAAGAGCTTTCAATGGTTTTCATGTTTGTGTACGGACTCCAAATATAATTGATGCCATATCAGGATGTATTTGTTAATTATATCGTTTATGTGTGGTAAGTAATCAGAAAACAAATGGAAATTAGATATCATAGATGCACATATGTAATTAGCTGGTTAAATGTCTAGGTACACTATAGTATTTGTGATGCAAATAATTGACATAAATGGAAAAATATAAAAATTAGCATTGGGAAAATATCTGTTCAATGTCCATGTTTATTTCAGCTAGTGATGACTCAGTATTACTGGAAGTTGATAGTTTGCAGGCGTGGACGGAATGGCCCTGCGGTCTCAGTTCCTCGCCTACTCACTGAGTCCACACCTCTCCGGCCAGTATTTCCAAGGCCCAGCTGGCTGAGCGTGAGCAACAGAGCCCCGGCCAGGGATGACCACGCACCCTCACCTGGCCTGGCCAGGGCTGCTCACGGGCTGTGACCATGGTGTATTATTTCTCTTCACTTTCACTTGTTTTGTCAGGACATACTTGTGAATAGATATTTTTCCTTTTCATTGTGTTTATTTTCTGATTTCAGAACCAATCTGATTCAAAGTTGGCAAAACTTGAGAAGGAAAAATAATGTCAAATAACAATCAGCAAGTTCCAGACCCGCAGCCAAGGGGGCAGGCATGTTTTCAAGGAATGTTTGCCTTGTTGTTCTATGCACACACGTGTGTGTGCATGCGTGCCTGTGTGTGCTTTGCTCCCTGAAAATGTTCCTTTTACCTCTGAAGAAATTTTTCAGTGTAGGACAAGTTTTATCTTATATTATATGAATATGTAAGATATCAATGAAAACTTTTCGTAGGATTTATTAAATAGAAATGTCATTTTAGACCAATAATACTTTAACTGTTAAGAATTTTACTATAATTCACTAGATAGCTAAAAGTACTTTTTCAACCAGAGTTATCAACATGAAGATATGCATTTCATATACAATAATATATGCATATGCATATACACAAACATGTACCGATATATACATACATATGCTTATAGAATCACATGCTTGTGCACATATATACACACTACACACACACTGCTTTGTTAAAAATAAATTGCTGAACAGAAGTCAAGTTTGGTTAGTAATTATTCATATTACATTGAAGCAAGCAGAATGAGTGAAATAAACTTTTGAAATTTTTAGTTTTGAATTTTAATTAAAATTGTCTTCTAGTATCAGAAAGACATGAGAACTTTGCTTTAACTTGTAGTACCATTCTTGGAATAATTAAGTAATTTGACTTTAAAAAAGAAACTTGCAGCAAATATAAAGAAAGACTTTCAAATATCTACTAGTTATTGAAGCGTTATTTACTGAGTCCTCCCTATGAAGGTTAAAATCATTGGTTTAACCTCTGGTCACAAGATCACCCTCACATTGAGAACTGCATGTGTCTTTGATTTCTGCCCGAACTGAAGCACACAGTGTTCTGGGAAAAGCCATGACACTGAATGATGGTGCAGTTGCCATTTGTTTAAAATCCCAAACCTGTTTTCCTCTTGTGATTCACAAAGATTTTCCTGAAGGCTTCCTTGTATCATGTACCTCAAGTGACAGATTATGTGACTTTCCAGTATTTCATGAGAAAAGTGAACTTTGACTAGTTTTGAGATGATGCAGATATGCACTCATTTTAAGAGGGCGTATTTTGCCACTTAGCTACATTATATACATTTAAGGAAGGCAGCAGTATGCCTGAGTGAGTGTTTCTTGAGGATAATTTCTATGTGACTGCTGAGATTTACAGAGTTCTCACATTTTCTTCTCCCACAAGGATTCTAAATCAGGTTGGTTCAGAGGAAAAGCCAGCATACCCCATTTTTCTAATATTATCACTTCTCCAGATGGTCGGAGCACATCTATTCAAATAGTTCCCTTTTCCTAGAAAGTAAGAGGTACCTTAGAAGCTCTGGGTACACACAGCTCCAAAGGCTGCCTCTCGTTTTCACTTCTTTCTTTCTCATTGAACACAGCCACTCTGTCCCATCTGCTGCCAGGCAAAGTGCACTGGTGATGGCCTGAAATTTCATCTAGGGGCCCTGAGCACGAGAGGGTTAATGGTGGATCTTTGAAAACAAGTGACCATGGGAAATTAGGGTTGGCAGGGATTTAACTCTTCAGGAGTCATGCTGGAATATTTCTAAGGACAGTGCAAAGGATGTTTTAACTGTGTTTGACATCTAATTAAGGAGGAGAAAGAAGTAGCTTTAAAAACAAAATCTCTCTTGTAGTATGAAAACAAACCACTGACAACTGGCTTCCAGGCATTTGCTCTGGCAAACTAAGGGTACAAGTAGAGACAAAAGGTAATGACAGAGCAGTGATGAGACAGAAGGAAAAGTGCCTGGACCATTCCTTTCATTCTTCTTGCTGTTGTCCATTTCATGGTTTATTTTACCAAGCTGCCAAGTTTTCAGTCAATCAGTGGAATTTTCATACAGGTGTGGGGCAGTTTTTGATTTAAATGAAAGCAGAAAAATTGTGACAGATGCCAAGTCTTGTTGGATACATCTTGTCAGTGTACACAGTTTGCTTTATCAGTGTACACAGCAAAGGAGTCTTTTAATTAAGTACTATCTCATGACTGGATGTGTGCCCCTCTGGAATCTATAGAGGAGAATAATCTATTACCAAGCCAATGAATTTCTTATAAGCTAAGCATGGATACTTTTACATTTTAAAATGTATTTATCATTTAGATAACCAATACTAACTGTAGTATATTTTAAAAAATGTAATTGCTAATTTCAAATGTGGGAGTCAAAAATTTTAGCATGTAGGGATTCATATCTTTTAGAGTTAAAGTGTATGCTCAACTTACTTATGAGAAATACAAACTTGGATAAAGTACACCATCCATGTAAGAACTGCTTGATGGCACTCTATTCAGGAGTTAAAAATTGAAAGCAAAGAATGATGCGAACACACTTGCCTAACATTACATACTATGGAAAAATTTAAAGACACTTATTAAATAGAAACATAGTAGAGACTCAATTAAACATTTAGTAGCTGCTATCTGATTTTTAAAACTCGTATAATAAAAGCACAATTTTTGATGCTTCAAATCTATTTATAACTAGAAAGACAAGAAAAACTTACAGCAACAAGAATTTCCAATTCAATGTATTTTATCCAAGTTTTAAGTCCAAATAAACATGTTTAATAGGTGTTTAAGTTTCTAATTCAAAGGGTGAAAATGTCATCTGTCTTTCTTGTTTTATAACTTTATTCACTCCAGAACATTTAGAAAGAGATGTTTCCTGCCATGTGCAAAATTAAAGCATAGGTATCTCTGACATGAGAACAATGTACAATAGACAGACATCTTTGCAGATATTCAGTAGTTTTCCTTTACCTTACAGGCTTAAAACTTAGCATAATTGAAGCTTCTCACCGCCCCACCCCCAAGCCTCGAAACCTGAGACCTCTCAGCAACCAACACCTTAGGGAGTAAAACTACTGGAGTTAAAACAATTTAATCTTCAACTTCATCTAATCATACCTGAGTTATATGAATATTTCCTGCCAATAAAAGTTATATATTTATATATCATTTTGGAATCATTTTAGCATTACATTACACATCAGTGCATAAAATCTATCCAACCAGATGTAGATTTTTTTCTTTAAAAAATCCGTATTTAAAAACAAGCACATACATAAAACTTTAATAAAGCACCATGTGATGAGGTTGGTTTTTCTTTCTTAAATTTATACTTTCTGAAAAAGAAGTTCGCATGACTGTGTAGCTAGAGAGTAATGTCTTCAATTCTCACTGTGGTGCATATGGAAGGAAATTACATTATATTTCAAAGGCTAGCTTGACACCAATTAGTCAAATACACAGTCTTTTGTGCAATCCTAACACGCTGCGGAAAACTAGTCTGTTCTCTCCAGTTTATATTCTCTTGGCAAATCACGATCTACTGCTTATGTTAAGCATCTGATTGTCAGATTTGAGCAAACTGAATATTCATGATGGTGATTAACCATTTCGTGCCTAAAACTAAGAAAATACGATTCATCACTCCAATTATTCTTAAGTCAGGCAGGCACATCTATAAAGAGACCATTTTTGCATTAGTATTGTTTTACAAAATATTTTAATAGAAGTAAAGTCAGAAAAATTAACAGAAGATGAGACAGGATCATAAGATACACAGATCTGTCTGCGCCCGGCATGCAGCTCCTCTCGGAAAATGTGATTAAATGTCTTTGTTTGCACTTAAATTGTCACAAGTCAAACAGAAGACCTGCTCTTTTTAAAAAGTATTTAAATGGCCTCCGGAAGATCAACAGAATCACAGAGGTTTCCCCGGCTAAGTGGAGGTTTGAGGGTCTGATGGGGAGGGAGTTGGAAGGAGGGCGGACGCATTACAAAGCCAGCCAAATAAGAGGAAAGCCAGGACTTACCTTTGTAGGATAATTTCAGCCTGGGCACATTGTTCTTCCCGGGTGCGTGGTTTGCTCTTGCTGTGAGTAGAGCGCTCCAGAAAATGCAGACCACCCCGGCCAGCCGGCCCATGCTGCAGCCGCCGCGGGTCCTCGCTGCCACCGCCTCGCTGCCCGTGCTGTGTGGCCAGAGAAGTTCAAACAATCTGGAAACTGGAGGTAACAGGTGACTAGGTCAGTTTCATTCATAAATGCAGCCGATCCAGCCCGAATGGCAACGCCGGCTCCTCTTCCACTGCCACGGTCTCTGAGGCACAGAAACTTCAAGCCCTCCAGAAGAAGAAGAAAAAAAATCGAGCCAGGCACTGGATAATGAGGCACAACTGTTGTGTGGAGAGAAAAAAATTAACAAGGGCTGCTGCAGTGGTGGTGGGGAGCAGGTCCTTTTATCTGAGCTCCTCTGATAGCTGGTGGCGGACACTAATCCTGCTGGCTGCTGCTTCATTCGGCTCCGGGGAAGCAGAATGAAAGGGAAACAGAGAGAGAGAGGGAGAGAGGGGGAGAGAGAGAGAGAGAGAGAGAGAGAGAGAGGACAGGGCGAGCCGGAGCAGCAGACTTTCCTGTGCAGGCAGAGCCCAGAGCACACAGGATCCCGGATCCCACAAGGCAGGTCCCCCAATCCCAGCGCTCCTGGCCGGCTGACAATGGGAGAACAAGCACGCTGTGCTCCCCTGGCCTCCTGTCACACACATGCGGAAAACATCTCGCCTCCAGATCGGAGCCGGGAGCACAGCCCTCCAGTCAGCGAGCCTGTGAAAGGCATGTAGCTATAAATTTACTTCCCCAGGCAAGCATTGTTTTATAGCCATTTTTCGGTGCAATGTTGAATAAAAGAATCTGAATCATGCTACCTACAGAATTTACGATTCATGCTCAGTGCACACTGCTGCGGAACTTGTGCACCATGCATGTGTGTGCATATGTGTCTGCGTGCACACCCACATAGATAAGCTCTCCTCAGTGCAACTTTAACCCCTGACGGGTTTAAAGCCTTGTTAGGGATCATGCCCTCCTCCCAGCAAAGCGTGGCTCCTCCACCCCACCCCCTGCCCCTCTGCAATTTCAGGGAAGAAATTCCTAGTAAAGCCCATTTCAAAGATCAGTTCAAGACAAAAATAGGTCCAGTGAGTATTATAAATTACAACAGGGGATTCTCGAAAGGGTACTCAGAATTGTAAAACCTCTAGCTTCCCAGCTCTTGGAAGGCTCCGGCTAGCATTTTAATGCATTACTTCTCATTAATTAAAGCCACTTCCTTAGTTTTGGCTTCAAGGTCAGGGGAAGATGACAAAGTTCACAAAAGTCCCAGCTGAGAGTCAAGGACCAGCATAAAGAACACTTCTGTGTCTTCATGAGCCAGCGAAGTGTCACTAAATTTTCTGGGGAAGCACATGCCATGTGTTCAGGGAGTCCTGCACACCAGGAGTGCTTGATAAGGCAGGCAGGTCTCTGCTGTGCTGTTTTGTCTCTTATTTTTCTTCCAATCCTCCACAAAGCTGATGTGCTTATAGGGTGTGTGAAGGGTTCCCATCCTAGGTAACAGGAGAGAACTTTCTTTATGGCCCCTGCACTTGAAATGGAAGAGAAAGGATATGGAAATTTCTTAACTAAAAAGAGAGCAGAGTCTCATGATTAAAACCACAATCACTTCCTGAAGGTAGTTCAGAAATCGTGTACAAAATGACCTAATATTGTCCCTCAGCTTTTGTGACTTCATGCCTGTGGACTAAGAGAAAGAGCGGTCTCTCTTGCTGCTGCACATGTGTTAGGTGCTGAGGAGGAGGAGAAGGAACGGAAGGGGATGGGGGGGGCAGGCCCTCTTTCTGCCCCTAGACTGACTCAGCAAACAGCCCCTCCGCAGTTGTCAGTCTGCAGCCTTTGGATCTGGGAGACCCTGTAAGGAACAGAAATCCCAAATCCTATTGATCTTCCTCCCTCCTACACTTGTCATCCTCAATACTTTCCCACTCTGCTCAGTGGACAAAGGCTCCGAAGGACAAGCAGCCCCTCTGGCCTCTGGATCACTCAGGGCAGTGTCTTGCTGGTGGCTCCTCCGGACTGGGCTTCCAGCCACCCCTGAAGCATCCCGTGTTGAACCTGGCATCAGCTACTTTCACTTTTTCATTTATATGTTTTAAACGTCAGAAGGTGTCTCTTTCACTATCGGTCTTATTACACACAGTAGGAGAGCAAGTCTATTTTGGTCAAAACTACATAGGATCAGCAAATTAGAAGTGTGTCCATTTCACCTGTGCAATGTCTAATCTTGAAAAGTTCAATGTGTTCCAGGAAAAACAAAAAGCTGTAAGTAAAACAGATAGAAGAGGGCTGGCATTGGCTATAGGGAAGAAAAACATTCGATCTGGATTCCGAACCACAAAATCAGAACAGTTATTTCATTTTGTAAGACACAATTGAATGCAACGTTTTTGCCTAGAATTTGATCGCTTAGATATCCCCATATTTACAAACACACATTTCTTAAACGTTGATGTATTTATTTATATGTAATAGGTCTCTTACCCTCAATATTTTTAATCAGCTTTGTATTTTTCAGATGCTTCAAACTAAAATATATGCACAGTTACATTTGCTTTGTTTTTGCAGATGTGTTTTAATTTTAAAAAGTTAAAATGTAAATCCTCAAGTTAGACATAATTGTCCTAGGTTGATTTAATTGCAAAATAGTAAAAAAGTCCAGCCACACATAAATATTTGTCCTGTGATTTTAAAAGGAAGAAGAAAGAAAGATAAAATAATTACATACATAAAAATTACTTGCAAAAGTATTTGGACTCATATTTCTGCTGCTTTCTCATTAGACTTTGGTAGGGTTAACTAAAGCTGTTTTCATTTTTTGTATACTCCCAAACACCTGAGAAGTATTTAACTACAAGGCTTTGCTCACCTGGGGTGGATGCAAGGCAGAGGACCTGGTGGTTGTTCAGAGCCAATCAGAATCTGGCTGCAGATGGGACCCTGGGTCTGACCCTTCTCTGGGTGTCTCCTCCCTGGGAATGTGTGGTCCTAGGATGGAGAAAGCCATGAACCTGCTTTGGGGGCCACCGATGTTACTGTACAGTGACTACTTTTTAACAGCAACTGACCCTGAATTTAATAATGAATCTAAGATACAGGTAAAATATTCCTTGTTTCTTCCTCTAAGCATTCTATCTTGAATCGTTCTCTAGGCCACAATCTACATCCTGTACTCTACTTAAGACTATTTGCAAATGAGCTTCTCCCTCACGTCTTCTAACATTTCAAGTTTGGAAATACAAGTCACTTTTGCCAGAACGGCAAATTTTCCTGAAATGATGATGAAGATGTGCATACATGGCTGTCAGCGAGGCAGGGCTGAGCACGGCCCGCTCCGGGCTGTCATAGAGGACAGGAGTGGCAGTCCTGTGCTGCTGAGGTCGATTTTCCAGGGACGCAGCACTTCCAACTTCACAGAAGGTCAGGTATCTCTTATTTTTTCCAATAAAAACCTGGGCAGTCACAGAAGATTAAAGTATTTTTCCACTGGAAAGTCATTTTAAGTTGTTCCATATATTGGATGGAACCAGTGTGTCTAGTTTTTAAAAGCCCGCTGTACTCTGTGATCATGGAAGAACCAGTCATGGCAGTAAACATTGTGATTTAAGAGCAGAAACTGAAGTTCTAACTGGGGAGATGAGGTTCCAAGAGATTTCCTAGGTTATAAATGCCCCGAATCTTTCCATGAGTGGCCAAAGACACTTGCTGTATTTGTGCATAAAAGGAAATAAGGAGAATGTATGTTTTAATAGTATTTAAAAGATTTAATGGATGACATGCACTGAAATTATGGTTAAACAAGCTTACCCCCCCACGCCCTGGATTAGCCCTCCCTGGTGTGTGTTACCCACAGAAGTAGATGCCTCTTAAAGGAAATTAGAGTTAGGCATTGCAGAGTGAGTTTAATCAGTTCTACTAAGAAATGCATCAACAAGGAACCAATGCTAAAAACAAATTTCAGTACTCTTCCCAAGGTGTTTTTTGATTGAGTCATAGGAAAAAGCATACATTGTATTAGTTTCCACCCAACATCTGCTCCTCCCTGCTATTTTTTTCTTCAAGGGACTGCTTCATTAGTACTTGAGAAAGGTCTATGATCAACAGAATTATAGCAAATGTCATAGTCGAACGTGTGCCCTTGCTCTGATACTTACACTGAAATTCACATTTAATGAGCTTTTGCTGGTACAGGGAATTTGAACCTCCTTTTTTTTCCCTCAAAGAGAATTGTGTGGGTGAAAAAATTCTTTAGAAGATCAGAAGACATCCTATTAATTGGGAAAACTAAATATTTGATGTATTATTCATTCTAGCCAAAAATGCTAGTTATTTAAGAAGTACTGCAGTGGCGGACGGGAAGTGGGGTGGCAGGTTAAAAGCAATGTTTCAGAAATTGAGTTACTTTCCATAATCAGACCCTTCTGGATGCTTTTAGCCTAAGCAGCACAGGAGAGCCTGAGTGGAGAAAGGAACTGGAAAATGGAGGGGAATTCAGCCTCTAAAAAGCATTCACCCCCACCACACGAAGAGAGGGTTTAATACAATAATCCTGTCCCCTCCTGGAATAAGTCTGTGACACTTTGAAAAAGACAGCTTATGTTTTCCTTGCAACATCAATGTTTAAGACATTTTAAAGCAAATAGAGTCTTAGAAGATAAGACTCCTTGTTGGTGAAACAAATTCCAAGTGATAAATATGAAATTAATTCAGAAGGAGATAAGAGCCTATCGGGAGCGCTACATTTTGTTGCTGCAAATTTCAAGAAGAATCTGATGATTAAGACTCTCAGAACTTACAGAGGAAAATGCTAGTGACGAGCATTCTTTGCTGTGACAGTTTGGGTAGCAGAACTCGGGTTGGTCCATTTGAAAGGGTGGAAGGCAGCTGGGGACTGCTCACCTCAGGCAGCCTCCGAGTGGCTTACAGGGGCCAGGCCCATTACAGGAGCGGAACTTATTGCCTGCTGGGGCTCCCTGGTGTTTCATCTCCTTAACTCCATCGTATATATCCACATTCCAAAAGCTGTTCTAAAATACATTTTCAGCCAGGTTAATGAGGTTGTCATCCATACAGCTGCTTTATTAGACTGACACTTGAAGACAGTATCCCTGAGG